CTGCTCCCGGGGCCGGGCCGAGGGGCAGGCCCGCCGGCGGCGCGGTCCCTCCGCGGGCCGCCCCCTCCCCCCCCCCACCCCGGGGCGCTGTCATCCTCCCGGCGCCGCACCGCCCGGGCGGGAGCACTTCCGGGAGCGGAACCGGAGGAGCCGCCGGAGACAAAGGCCCGCGGGCGGCGGGGAGGGCTGGGCCGCGGTAAACACCGGAGAGGGGCGGCGGGCCGGGCCGCGGGCGGGGGCCGCTGTGTGCCGGGAGGACACGACAGCACCTGCCTCCCCGGGAATAACTAGTCATGGCGACGACGACGATGATGATAATAACAACACCTCTCCCTCCCCATGCCGCCCGCAGCAGTGCCCACCTGTGCTCCCAGCTGGCCTGCGTCAGGAGCCCCGAGAGGTGGGGTCCCTGTCCGGACAGGGTGGGGGCCCCAGAGCAGCCTCCCTGGGGCACAGGTGCCTTCGCCCAGGCTGGCACAGGGCGCACCCGGCCTCTCCCACACACACCCCGGCAGCCACGGCACTTCCTGTCCCCGACATGCTAATGCCCGCCTCACAGCTGCCGGGACACACAGACCTCCCTGCCTGGCCGGACCGGATCAAAGAGCCCAGGCTGGGTCCCAGCTGGCAGACAGCTGTCTGCCCAGCGCCCTGCCCGGCCCCTCAGCGTTCCGGACGTGTGGGACACTGAGGAAGTCTAACCCAGGTGGACCTCAGCCTCCAGGATGGATGAGTGTCAAGGGATTGACCGTCAATCCCGTGACCACGGGATGAGTGACCACGGGATTGACCGTCAACATGTGATGAGAGCAGACGCCCATTTGGTAGATCCTGTCTGCAGAGCATCCCCTCCCAGGATGCACCTGGCCAGGTGGGGGCATCACTGAGGCCGCTGGCCAGGGAAGGGGGACAGAGGCCTCCTCTTGGGGAAGGTCAGCTGTGGCTGTGGCTGCCGTCACCAGCGGGCGTCAGCGGTGTGTGTGCCTCACCGCCGGCAGAGGCCGGCTGCTGGCCAGCAGGAGGAGCGAGGGTGGCAGCTCGGGAATGAAGCGGTTAAGCGGGTTCACAGTCATTACGCTGATGGCCCCTGGTGTGTCCGCACAAATCGGGCGACAATAAAACACGAGGCAGGCTACGCCAAGGCAAACAGGAGGAAGGCTGCGGCCGGTCTGGGTTAGTTGGTTGGCCGGTGACCGGGCCCGGGGTGAGCCGCTCTGCGGACGGCACTCCTCAGCACCGATTTCCAGTGCAGCCGCTGCCGGAAAGCTCGGGGGAAGGAACTTGCACAACCCCCCCCCTCGGGGAGGGGGTTTGATTGGAGCCTGGGTTCTGGCCCGGAGCCCGGGGGGTCCCCCAGGCCTCCCCTGCTCTCGGGCCATCAGCCTCGCCACCTCCAGGCCTAGCCTGCCTTCCTGCCCTTGACGGTGAGCTCCCCTCCGCATCGGGTGTCCCAGGCTGGCGTGGGTCTGTAGATCCGCTGTAGGAAGCATCACACGAATGCACGTATGATTCCCTGTGACCGCTCCATCCAGGTGGAGGTCAGCGTGGGAGCGAGCACACGGAAGGAGCAGCCAGTCAGGCTCTCTGTCTGGCCGGCAGCCTCTGGTGTCGCAACCGCGGGGAAAGCAGAAGCGGTGCTGTGAGGTGTCTGCAGTGTGGTCAGCGTCAGGCTCCAGAACGTTCCACGGGGTGCCGTCTCAGTGTCATTAGCACCAGCGGGCGGCGTTGGCCACTCTGGCTGCGCCCGGGCAGCGTCCGAGGCTCCGGCCGGGGCCCGGGGCCCGACTCTCCTGGCAGACGGGTCTGTGCTCAGCCAGCGCCGGGCTTCGGGAACCAGCGGAGCCATTTGCTGAGACAACATGCTGGTGCCGAGCCCCAAACAGAAGCCCGGCCGCACCCCAACCAGTAAACACACTGAGCGCCCCCCAAGCTGTGTGAGCGGGCAGCCGAGAGGGGGCAGCTGTGGCTTAGTTCTGCTCTACACAGCACACAGCACCCCCAGCCCGGCACCCACCCCACCCCGGCACCCACACCCCTACCTCAGCACCCACACCCCACCCCCACCCCGGCGCCCACAAGCCTGCCCAGTGCTGTGCTCTGCACATGGCGCTGTGGGTGGTGATGGGGGGCTGACGGGGCTGAGGGGGTGCGATGGGAGTGTGGGCGGGAAGCTGGAAGCCAGGCGGCCGCTTCTGCGTCTGGGATGGGTGATGGCGGGGAGGCGGGCCGGGTGACTGCAGACACACGTGCTCGGAGGCGGGGGCTGAGGACGGGGCTGAGGGGAGGAAGACGACGCTGGGTGGCGTAGGGGGAGCGGCGGCTCTGGCTAAAAGGAGAACTGGGAGGAGGAAGTGGCCTGATTTGTGGGTCCCGGGTGGGGAAATCGGTGCCCTGCGGGCAGGGAGGCCCGGGCCCCCCGCTCAGTGCCCAGTGGCCAGGGGCCAGCAGGAGGGCGCCCAAGGCCTCCGAGCCCACACACGGGGCAGGGCCCCGAGCCCGTGGAGGACTCACCCTCCCAGCTGCTCAGGCCACGAGGGACCAGGTTGGGGGGCACACGAGGGCAGATGACAGCCTCTCGGGGGCAGAGCCACGGCCCAGCCTCTCAGGGGACATAGTCCCTAACGCACCAGACCCTCCTGCCTCGGCTGTGGGCGTCCTGTGGCGTGGAGGTGAGTTCACGAGCACCGTTGGTAAACTCGGGTGCCAGGGGACCCCAGGACATGCTCTAGACACTCGCCCAACGAGGCCCAGGGCGTTCCTGAGAGAGCCTGAGACCACAACCACCACCAACTCTCCTGCCCAGCACGAGAGCTGGAGACTGTCCCATTTCCCCCCCTAGAAGTTCTGCAGTTTGAGTTAGTGTGAGGCATATATTTGTATAAAGTGTGAGTCTTAGGGGTGTGTGTGTGTGTGTGTGTGTGTTTGGCCTATTGAGATCTAGTTTCTTCAGCACCGTTTGTTGAAAAGGCACCTTTGTTCCATTGAATTGTATTTGCATCTTTGTCAGAAGGCAGCTGGGAATGTTTTATCCCTGGGTTCTCTCTTCTGTCCCATTGATATGTGTGTCTGTCCTGCCAATACCACACAGTCTTGATCTCTGTGTAGCTTGTAATAAAGCTACCTTTTCACAATTGTTTGCATATACATTTTCAAACAATCTTATCTACATCTCCAAGAAAACCGTGCTGGGATTTTATAGGGATTGTGTTAAGCCTGTAGACAAATCTGCGAGCATTGAACATGACATGTCTCTCCCTTTACTGAGACCTCGGTTTCCTTTACCAGCATTTTGCAGTTTTCAACACGCAGTCCTGTGGGCCTTGCTGACGTTTCGCTCATTCTTTCAGCAGTTGTGAGTGGGATTCTGTTTTAAAGGTTGGTGTCCGGTGTTCATTGCCGGTACCGACAGAAGCACAGCTGACATTCTCTATGTTTGTCTTGTATCCTGTGACCTTGTTGAACTTACTGGTTCTAGAAGGTTCTGGAGATTTCCTGGGATTTCCTCCATAGACAGTCATTTCAGATTAAGCCAGTTTCTCTCTTCCCTTTGGATCGGCATGATTTCTCTTTCCTGATAGCACTGGCAGGGACGTCAGCACCACGTTGCATAAGAGTGGTGAGGACAGACAGGCTTGCGCTGTTTGCTGTGGAGAGAAAGAGCACTCCATCTTTTTTTTAAATTTTTTTTATTTTATTTACTTATTTATTTATTTATTTATTTATTTATTTATTTTTACAGAGAGGAAGGGAGAGGGATGGAGAGCTAAAAACATCCATCAGCAGCCTCCTGCACACCCCCTACTGGGGATGTGCCCGCCACCAAGGTACATGCTCTTGACCGGAATCGAACCAGGGACCCTTTAGTCCGCGGGCCGACGCTCTGTCCACTGAGCCACACCGGTTTCAGCAGCACTCAGTCTTGACCCGCTGTGTGCAATGCTATCTAAGGTCTCGCCTCCATTCCTGCTTTTCTGGAACTTTCCACGAATGACTTCTTCATTTTGTCCGTGGACGGGACCCTATTTTCTCCTCAGCATCCTGATATGTTGGTTTTCAAATGCTGCACCTTGAGTAGACCCATCTCGGTCACTGCATACAGTCCTTGTTACATATTTCTAAATATTCTTTTCTAATATTTTGCCAGGGACATTTGAATCTATATTTGTAAGGAACGTGGTTCTGTAGCGTGTTGCTTGTTGGACTTTTCCTCTGAATGCGGGGTTCTGGGGGGACAGTTCTTTCCTCTCAGCACGTAAGCAATGCCGGCCCCGCCCTCTGGCACCGTGGTTTCCGATGAGAACTCGTGGGGTTGGGAGTTAGTTGTCTTCCCCTGTTGGTGAGCTGTCACTCCTGTTCCGTTGCTTTCAAGATCTCATCTTTGGTTTTCACTTTCTCAAGCGGCCATCGCTGAGCGCGTGTCTGCAAAGCGCGTGCGACCTCGACCTCAGGCGGCTGCTGCCTCACCCCGTGGCCTCCGACGGCACCGAGTCCCGTGCCAGTGCTTCTCCTTCGTGTGGCTGCAATCAGGAGCTTCGCTCTGTTTTTCTCTAGAAACGGCACGGCTTTGGCCACCTGGACTTCCTAAAAATTCTAGACTCCCCAGTCCGGTGGTTACGTTGGAGCAGTAAGACCCAGAAACTATAGTAAATACGATTTGTTTTCGGTTCCCCTTGTGGTTTAGACACAATCCCTGTCCCTTGGACGTTCTTGGTAGGAGTCCGTGAGCAGATGCGCACGAACCTGAGCTGTCAGCCTGTCCCCGGCAGGAAGAACACGTGATGTCTGAAAGCTTCCTGGACTCAGTGTCACAGGGCCGCAGGGGCCGTGGAGAGGAGCACTCCCGGCCCTCCCGGCTGGTGTCTGACACCCTCGGCGGGCGTCCCGCACGGTGGGGCCCTGTGCCCACACGGTATCGGTGTCCTCGCTGAGCTGTCCTCCCGTCTCCCTCCGCAGACCAGCAGTCCCCGTGGTGACGCGGCCCTCTCGGACGGCGACGCGCCATGGCGGCCGACGACAAGGTGGCCATCCTCACGGATGACGAGGAGGAGCAGAAGCACAAGTACGTGCTCGCCGCGCCCTTCAGCGGCGCGGCCCGGGGGCAGGAGCCGGCGCCGCCCCGCGAGACGCCGTCCCCCACGGCCACGGAGGCCGCCCCCGCGGAGGGGGAGGAGGAGGGGGCGGACTGGATGGAGAGGCACTGCGTGAAGGTCAGCAACGACCTCCTCGTCTCCAAGGTCTTCTACCTCTTCTTCTACGCTGCCTACGGCTCGCTGTACCCGCTGCTGCCCGTGTACTACAAGCAGCTGGGCATGTCGCCCAGCCAGAGCGGGCTGCTGGTGGGCATCCGCTACTTCATCGAGTTCTGCAGCGCCCCCTTCTGGGGCGTGGTGGCCGACCGCTTCAGGAAGGGCAAGGCCGTCCTCCTCTTCTCCCTCCTGTGCTGGGTCCTCTTCAACCTGGGCATCGGCTTCGTCAGGCCCGCCACGCTGCGCTGCGTCCCCAAGGCGCCCCCCACCGCGCGCCCCGCCACCGCCAGCCACCCGCCAGCCCTCCCGCCCGCCAGCGCCTCCTTCGTCCCCGCCGGGACGCCGCCCCCCGGGCCGCGGGGGAGGAGAGACCTGCCCCCGACCGGCGGGCCCGGCCTCACGGCCACGGACCCGCCCGCCGCCCCCGCGGCCGCCCCCGGGACCGGCCCGCCCGCTGCTCTGCCGCACACGGACGGCGTCACCGACCTCGGCCAGGACTCGGCCTTGATCCCGAGCACCGGAGCCCCCGCGCCCCCGGGGACGGTCCCCGGGGGGACCGCCACGACCGCCACGACCACCGCGGCCGCCACGACCACCGCGGCCGCCACGACCACCGCGGCCGCGACCCCCAGGGCCCCGCCCTCCGACCAGGCCACGCTGGTGTACGACCAGCAGGAGGTGGAGGCCATCTTCCTGGTGATCCTGGTGGTGGTGATCGTCGGCGAGTTCTTCAGCGCCTCGTCCGTCACCATCGTGGACACGGTGACGCTGCAGTACCTGGGCCGGCACCGGGACCGCTACGGGCTGCAGCGCATGTGGGGCTCGCTGGGCTGGGGCCTGGCCATGCTGTCCGTGGGCATCGGCATCGACTACACCCACGTCGGGGTGCTGGTCCACGGCGAGGGCTGCCGGCCGCCCGAGAGCCGCAACTACCAGGTGGTGTTCATCGTGTTCGGGGTCCTCATGACCCTGGCCCTGGCCGTGGCCACCCAGTTCCGCTTCCGCTACGGCCACCTCCGGGGCGGGGAGGGTCTCGGCAAGGAGGCCGAGGGCCCGGCCGAGCGCGGCAGCCCCACGGAGTCCGCCGAGGGGGTGCCGGCCGCCGGCCCCGCGCGGGCCGCCAGCTTCCGGGACCTGCTGCGCCTGCTGTGCAGCGTGCAGTACGGCTCCGTGCTGTCCGTGGCCTGGTTCATGGGCTTCGGCTACGGCTTCGTGTTCACCTTCCTCTACTGGCACCTGGAGGACCTCGACGGCACCACCACGCTCTTCGGCGTGTGCTCCGTGCTCAGCCACGTGTCCGAGCTGACGGCCTACTTCTTCAGCCACAAGCTCATCGAGCTCATCGGCCACATCAGGTAGGAGCCTTCCCGTGGCCCCGGGGCCCCGTGGACGGGGCAGTCGTCCATGTGGGGTGGGAGCAGGGCTTTCTCTCTCTCTCTCTCTCTTTCTTTTTTTTTTTATATATATATTTTGTTGATTTTGTACAGAGAGGAAGGGAGAGAGATAGCTAGAAACATCGATGAGAGAGAGTCATCCATCAGCTGCCTCCTGCACACCCCCTACTGGGGATGTGCCCGCAACCAAGGCACATGCCCTTGACCGGAATTGAACCCGGGACCCTTCAGTCCCCAGGCCGATGCTCTATCCATTGAGCCAAACCGGTCCCGGCTATCTTTTTAATATATATATTGATTTCCCACAGAGAGGAATAGAGAGGGATAGAGAGTTAGAAACATCGATGATGAGAGAGAAACATCCACCAGCTGCCTCCTGCACCCCCCCCACCAGGGATGTGCTTACAACCAAGGTACATGCCCTTGACTGGAATCAAACCCGGGACCTTTCAGTCCGCAGACTGACGCTCTATCCACTGAGCCACACCGGTTTTGGCTGTGGCTTTCTCTTTAAAAAAGAAGCGAGAGGGAGGAAGGAAGGAGCCTCACGGGATTCTCTGAGGCCCACAGGCAGGGCCTGGGAGGGCGTGCCCTGAGGCGGAGGGCGCCCGCTCTGGGCCTGTCACCCCGGGGCCCCCGGGGACCCCAGGGCGGCACGAGCGGAGGGGGCGGGAGGGGGTGAGAGGGCCTGTCTCCGCAGCCCTCAGGGACTGGGCCACTCGCCCGCACACAGACCTCGACCACCCTGTGCGCAGAGGTCTGCTCCCCTCGTTCCGCAGCCTGTGGGCGGCCGCTTCCTGCGGTTCGCGGAGGAGAACGCGTCTTATCAGAGCTTCCTGATTGTGACATGCGTTTGTGTTTTATCTGCCACGAACACATGGGACACCTAACCATCCTCTTCCTGCCCAAAGTTTTTCAAGGAGTCCTTTTAGCCAAAAAGCCGAAACGCCAGCTCTCTGCGGTGTTTCTCCCCGGCCGGTCTGGAGTGGGCGAGCCGATGGTGGCTCTGCAGGAGCCCGGCTGGCCTCCAGGGAAGCTGGCACGGCCGCCCTGGCCCCGGCAGGGGCCGGTCCACTGCACCGTCCTGAGCAGCGTCAGGACGGACACACAGACGCGGGCACGAGAAACGCTGAGCTCTCTCCTTCTCATTCCCTTTGACTCGCTGGAGAGCATGTCCTGTAAAGCTTCAGCCTAGAACCATTCTTCCTCCAAACAGCTGCATGCTTTCTTTTCCGCGTCCGGTTTGTCTCGCTCCGGGCAGCTGTGCCCGTCCCGTCTTCCTCAGACGTTTGGCGGCGCCCGGGCCCAGGCCCCCGGCTCACTCCTGTTTCTTTCTTACACACACCTTCCCCCTCCGTGAGAACGGCGGGAAGACTCTGTCTCAGAGACACGCTCTGAGGGAGCCGTGCTGCCTGTGCTATGGAAAGCCACGCTCACATGCATGCTCAGGGCGGGCAGGAAGATTTAGGCGAGAGGGTCCCGGTGGGGGGACGTGCAGGTGAGCCCTGGAGGAGGGGAGGAGGGCGGGAACGGGGGCTGAGGCCAGGGGGTGCGGGACGGAGGCCTCACACTCCGTCCTGGGCAGGAGGGGCCCTCGCCGGGCGCAGAGCAGTGAGGCTGTGGGTTTCACTCGTTTGCACTTAACTGCAGTGCGTGGGGCCCCCGAGTGAAGGCCTGGCCTGAGCTACGGGACACACACACACACACACACACACACACACACACACACGCATACACGACGACAACACAGAAGCCGAGGGACGGGGTGGCTGGGAAGGGGAGCCTGGCAGAGGGGTCTGGGTGCAGAACGTGAGGTAGAGACCGCCATGCGTCAGTGTGGGCTCCTCCGGCCCCCAGAGAAGACGCAGGAGGAGCATCAGCATGGGGGGCCCTCGCCTGCAGCGCTGGTCTGTTGGGCTGAAGTGGGACCGTCGGTCGGGAACGTCTGGCGCAGCTGAGGACCGTGAGCCTGGAGCTTACCGGCGAGGGCGGGCGGGCACGGGCTCGCCCAGGGACACGGTGAGATGGAGAGCAGGTGCCGCGGGGGGAGAGAAGGGCTGAGATCAGCCCGGCTGTTTCCGCGCGCCGACGCCCACACTCCTGGGCTTGTGGGAACGTGGGAACGTGGCCTGTGCGTCTGCGTGGAGCGAGCACCCCAGGTGGACGCGTGCTCTGGGCCACCGGGTCGTCTGCGTGCTGCTCGCCGCGCCGGGGCCCACGCCCGCGCCGCCGCCGCCGCCGCCGCCGCCGCCGCCGCCGCGGACCGAAGACACGGCCAGGGAGAGCGGGCGGATCGGGGAGAGGGGGAGAGGACAGAGACGGGGAGGGGGCCATCCTTCCTGGGGAGGTGCTCCCTCCTGCCCTGTGCCCGGTGGTCACTGCGGGGCGTGGTCAGGCTGCCGGCCTGTGGCCTGGGACACACGACACGTCTGTTCTGTCCTCTGTGCACAGGGAGCCTCCGGTGCCTACCCCCGGGCTTCTGTGCGGCTGGTGAGAGGGAGCACGGCCATTGTGCAGAACAGTGCCTGGCAGAGCAAGGGTTCAGTTCCTTTTTTTTTTTGCTGTTTGTCAGTCTTCCAATCGACGATGTTGATCATAACTGCAAGACCCCTGGAACTGGATGGAAACACAGGGACTTCGTACAGTACAGGAGTTGGTGTTGTTACGGCGGCCAAGTTAGAATGTCTGTGGTGTCACTAACATCCCCCTCAGAAAGCATCCTGGTCCGTTTGCGACTTCCTCCCGATCCTTTAGGACACTGTTGACACATCGTCCAGATCCTCCGGCGGGCCGTCTGTGGGTGGGTTTCCGTTTTCCTGTGCCTTCCCCACGGCCTGCAGGGTCGCTGCTATTCCTGTGTGGAGGGAAAGCCACTGAGAGCTGCTTCAGATACAGACTCTCATCATTAATAAGCGTAGAGTCTCAAAAGTGGGAGAATTACGATCTAGAGCTGGAAGGTGTGATTTGTTCTCTGCACCTTCCAGCTCTAGATCTCACACACACACACACACACACACACACACACACACACACACATGCTCTATGCCACCCGAGCAGGAAGCATGCTCTGAGCCGTACCCCGAGGCGCTCAGCAGCAGCTGCGTGGGTGTCTGGGGCATTTTCCGTCGTTTCAGAGACTGGCATCGACACATAGGGGTCAGGGACCCCAAACGCCCGCAGTGAACGGGGCCCCCGTGGGAGAGCCGTCCCGCCGGTGACCCTCGTGGCCACGGGAGAAGCGCCCTTTCAGGAGAACAGCTCTTCTAGAAAGTTCTGCCTTCACCGCTTAGCAGCTGACTGGAGACTATGTTAGACATTGTTGCTGCGGACACACTGAGTACTCAGCTCCTCTAAGTGCCCAGATAAAACGGACACTGCCTGTCCCCGCACCCCAGCCGTGTGCGTGCGTGACCAGCGCTCTGAGGGCAGCGGGGAGGCGGCCGGGGAAGCTGGGGGACGCTGGGGAGGCCCCGGGGGATGGTGCCTGTCCCGGGAGGACTCGCGGGCAGAGGTGCTCTCACACAGCAGAGCCGAGGAGGGAGGAGGCCGGCCTGGCCGCTCCGGGTGGCCGGTGGGCGCTGCCGGTCCCGGGGAGGCTGGGTGAGCTCCCCGCAGAGCTGGTTTGGACCCGGAGGAGGAGACACGGGCGTACGTGACTGAGTGGATTGTGCATGAGTTTCCCGTGGGCTCTTCTGCTTGTGTGTGTCCCAGACGGACCCTGGCGGGTGGACTGATAGCAAGTTTGTGGAACGGGTTTTTTACCAAAGAGGACGAGACACAGACTTTCCCCTCAGACAGACAAGTTCAGAGAACATCACATCCACATCCTGAGCTCGCCTCCGCCCCTTTCCCGCTTCCCATCCCATCCCCACCCCAACCCCTTTATTTTGTTTTATTTTATTTTCTCTCTCCCACCCGCCTGTCCCAGACCCGCAGTTAACGCCGGCTGAGCCTCAGCGCATTTCCTCTCCCCGGTCCAGTGTTTGGAAAAGGACGATATTCATAGGAATGATTTTAACGTGAAACTACAGTTGAGCGCTGGAGAAGAGGAAAATGCCAGTGACTGTCGTATTGGCTTATTTCTTTTACCTTCTAGTTTCCCTCCTCCTGAGTTTAGAGAACAGGAGCAGCATTGAGGCTGGGGAACCCACAGGAAGTGGGAAGCAGCCAGGAGGGAGGAATCCCCGCCTCAGGCTGTGTTTTGTTCAGAGCCAGCCTGTGTGACCTCCGGTGCTTGGACACACGGCCGTGGCCGGGGCTGGTGGTGGTCTCACTGGTGGTTTTCGTGGTGCTGGCTGCGAGGGGGAAGCAGCAAGTGGCTTCATGCTTTAAAAAAACAGACCAGGAACCAAGAGGAAAAAGGACAGATTTCCCCTTTTTGGCCACACCGGCTGGCAGCTGGGATGCTCTTGAGCGTGTCCGGTGAGCCGGCGTGGTGGCCGGGGGTTGGGGCGAGGCCCCGTCCACAGCCACGCTCCCCTGTCCATCCTGGCCTGCCCGCCCCTCGTGGGGAGGACGTTCCTCCCGGCGGGTGCCCAGGCTAGCTGACCCCCCCTCCCGCACGGATGGGGCTCAGGAAGGGTGTCGCCTTTACGGACCAGCTGGGGGCCGAGGACAGCCGTGTCAGGAGCACCCTGTGCCTCCCGAAGCCCTCATCCCCCGGCTCGGCCTGAGGAGGGTCTGGGGGGTGGGCGGCTGGGCAGGGAGAACAGAAGGAAAGAGGGGGCTTGTGGGTGGGAAGAGATCAACTAAAGAACTTGTATGCATATGTTCATAACCCAAGGACACAGACAGTAGGGTGGCGAAGGCCTGGGGTGGGCTAGATGGGTCAGTGATGGGAAAAAGGGAGCATAGTATGTGATGTACCTTACCCCCCAGCCCCACTGACTGTCTGCGTCCGCAGGGTTCTGTACATTGGCCTGGCCTGCAACACGGCACGCTACATCTACATCTCCTACCTGGAGAACGCCTGGACCGTGCTGCCCATGGAGGTGCTCCAGGGTGAGTGTCCGCCCCTCCCCTCCCCCTCCCCTCTCCCCTCCCCCGGGCTGCTTCCTGCCCACTGCACCGCCCGGTGCAGCGAGGGAACTGCACAGAGGAGGGGGCTGTGCTCCGTCTGAATGAGGGGGTGCCAGGGAAGAGGGGGCCTCGGGGCCCCTCAGTCACTCCGCAGGCCGGCCGCCTGGGTGGAGCCAGGCAGAGCTGGATCGGACCCACACCCTGAGGTTAAACAAAAGAAGAGGAACTGAGAATAAACTCCTGTGGACAATGGTTGGGCGTGGACATCCGCCGTGTTTTTTAAATTAGATGGTCTGTCCTGTAGAGATTTTGGTGGTTTGTATTTGTAGGGTAACGGCCCTTAATGAGTCGTCATTACTTTATAACTTCGGTTACTTTTGTCACAGCTCGCGATTTATAACTAAGGCTATGGCAGGCTGTGCTCCCCGCCTCAGGCCTCTGCCCAGTTTGCTGCCCTGGCTGGTTTGGCTCAGTGGATAGAGCGTTGGCCTGTGGACTGAAGGGTCCCAGGTTCGATTCCAGTCAAGGGCATGTACCTCGGTTGCAGACTCCCGGCCCTGGTTGGAGGCATGTGGGAGGCAACCAACCTGTGTCTCTCTCACGTCCACGTTTCTCTCTGTCTCTCCCCGTCCCTTCCACTCTCTCTGAATGTCAGTGGGAAAAAACATCCCCGGTTGAGGATTCATTTAAGACACTAATAGCTCCACTGTAAACACCGTCACCCAGGCCGCCGACTAAGTGCGCACACTTATGTCATCAAAGGGAGGGTAATCGTCGGCCACTCTCCCCAGTTCTCTCAGGAAAAGTAAAGCTGATGGCCCACGCCCCCCCAGATCTCAGCGGACTTGTTTCGGGGAGCACAGCTGTCCGGACTCCCATGCTGGTCTTGCACGTGGGAGGATGGGGAGGGTTTTTAGATTTCCGGTGGCTTTCGCACCCTTTTAAAAGCAGAGGACCAGACAGACTGGAGTGAAGACACGGGCAGGAGTTCCCGGTTATTAACACGATCACGAGGAGGTTGCCTGCTCCAGGGGAAGAGCGAGGGCCACACGTCTGCCGCTGCCTGTGGTGTGCTCAGGGGAGGTGACCACCAGGCCCCCTGGAGGACTGCCTTGTGTTGCCAGTCTCTTTCCCAGGAAGCGATGTGGATCCTCCCACGTACGTGACAGTGAGGCTGGGGCAGGCAGGCCGAGCGGCCTCCGTTCCTCGGCTTTCGGAAGAGTCTCTTTCCCCTAGGCCTTCCTGCCCTCCCCTCAGGGGCTGCCCGAGCTGCTCTCCAGGATGCTCTGCCCTTATCCAGTCCGCCCCAGAGAGCAATAAGGAAGCCCAGCCAGAGGAGCCCTGCCCGCCTGCCACGCAGCGCCACTGGCTCACCCTCCGAGGAGCCTCAGAGAGCCTCACGGAGGCCCCCGGCTCTCTGACCTCGGGAGACTCCACGTTTGGGGGAAACCCTGAGATTTAAAAAAGAACGGTGGACACCCTATCATTGGGAGACTTTGCGTGTGCCCAAGCCTTCCCACGTAAGAGAAGAGCTGCTAAAATTACACCTGATCTAAAAATATAGCAACAACATACGTGTTATTTTTGGGGTCACATAAATGCGTAGGCCCATCTCTCTCTGTGCGTCCACCCTGCCGACATGGACACAATGGCGGAGCCTTCCGGCAGTCTCTGCAACCGTTTGGTGAGGTTTCAGGAGTTCAATGATTCATCAATGTTTCAGGAGTTCTTTTTTAAAAATATATTTTATTGATTTTTTTTTTACAGAGAGAAAGTGAGAGGGATAGTTAGAAACATCGATGAGAGAGAAACATCCATTAGCTGCCTCCTGCACACCCCCTACTGAGGATGTGCGCGCAACCAAGGCACAAGCCCTTGACCGGAATCGAACCTGGGACCCTTCAGTCCGCAGGCCGACACTCTCTCCACCGAGGCACACTGGCCAGGGCTAATGATTCATCTTTAAGACATGATTTCAAAACCTATGTTGGAGGCTACTGCTGAATCTCAGTAAATTTTGGATAAGTTCATTTTAGTTCTCGGCATGTTGCTGAGCTTTTTCCTTAGTGTTAATGAAGAAAAACCATAAACATATATATGTATCTGAAAAGAAATGGCGTTGACAGCATCTTTAATAACATATTTAATACTATCACGGTGCCAGCTCTTATAGCTAAGATCCCAGGCAGGCACTGCTCCGTTCTGAGAGGCTGCAGTTTGTTCCGCCGGCAAAGCAAATATTTTATTTGACTTCTGTGGAAACTAAGCGCGCATGCTACCTCCCCCAGCTAGCCGTGTTCCTGGTTAAAGAGTAACCTCGCTGAAGTGACGCCAGGAGCATAGTCAGCCGGAGGGAAGCTGGTGTATGTCCTGTTCACGCGGGGCGGGCGGGCCGAGGAGGGGCAGGCAGCGCTTGGTCCCCGTGGCCGTGGCCGAGTGAGGGCCGGTCCGGGACGGGGCGCCCGCCCTGTGGCTCCCCCGCGGCCGCCGGTGTGTGTGCCCGGTGCTGGGCCTGGTCTGGGAACAGGGCCCTTCGGTCCGGCTGGCTGCTGGAGATCGGGAGGTGGAGCGGGTTCGACCAGGGCGGCTTCTGTCGTCACCGTCACCCCATGTTCCTACCCACCCGCCCATCCGCCCAGGAATCGAGTTTTTCCCGTCTGGCCGGTGAGGCCGGCACTGCTCCTGGCCCGGCTCCCGCTGAGCGCTGAGCCGAAAGGCTCTCCAAGGCTCTTCCCCAGCTCTGCCTGTGTCTGCACCTGCTCTGGAATGCTTGAGGGCAACTCCTGCAGGTTTCCTCCCATCCTCTCCTCCCTGGTCCTCTCTGTCCTCCCGTCCTCTCTCTCCTCCCCGTTCTCTCTCTCCTCCCATCCTCTCTCTCCTCCCTGGTCCTCTCTCTCCTCCCCGTCCTCTCTTTCCTCCCTGATCCTCTCTCCCCTCCCCGTCCTCTCTCTCCTCCCCGTCCTTTCTCCCCCCTGGTCCTTACCTCTGGACCTCCAGCTGCCTTGGGCCCCCAGACTGTCGGGGGCTCCTCCCCTGCCTGAAGCCTTCACACCCTCCCCAGGCAGTAAGCGGGGCTCCCCCTGCCCCTCCTCGCAGCTACTCTCCTTGCGGCTGAGGTCCAGTATTTTGGGGACAATTAACTCTCATGTTCCGTCCAGGGGTTGGTTGTTTCCGGAAGGAGGAAGGAGGTCAGTCCAGGAGCAGGCTAATGTCGGATTAAGTCTTACGTTTATATGAATCCCTCCGTTCAGCTTTCCACAGCGCAGGCTGAGTCTCGGAGGACAGCACCTGCACTCGGATTGTTTTTCCGGGAGCACGTCCGTGGCTCAGCCCGCCAGACCCTCAGCTTCTCCGCCCTCCCGTCTGTGAGCCCGTTTCTGCCTTCGTTACGTTCACAGCAGCGTTCGCTACAGAGTCACTCCACACGCTGTGAGCGGCTCTGCATCAAAATGACGACCAACCCCCCCCCCAACACACACACACACACACCAGTCACCTCTGTTCCCCCTCCCTCCCAGCAGATGGTGACGATATAACAAAGCTGGGATGAGGCACTGGGAATGGGAACAGATGGGAATTGTATGTTAAAAACACATAAAACTGGTTGCATCCCTTTGTTAGCGAGCCCCGCCTGTAGAATGCCAGGCCCTGGACATAATCTAAGATACGTAAAAAGCTGTATTTCCAACAGTGTTCAGCATGCTGCTAGTTGTAATGAAAAAAAGTTGGAAATAATATTAATGCCAATCTAGGTGCCCGATACCCAAAATATAGAAAGAGCTCCTACAACTCAACAGCAAGAAAATCCCAAACCCAGAGCCTACCTGACACCCGTTTAAACCAGCGAGCAGGGGTCTGAACAGCCCTTTCTTCGAAGAAGAAGCACAAACGGCCGACAAACCGAAAAGGAAAAAGGAGAGGTGCCCCCCAGTCACTGGAGAAAGCAGATCCAACCCCGGAGACACCCTCTCCCCGAGCGCCCCCCCCCCCCCCCCCCGCCGTGGCTATAAACAGCACGCCAGGAAGCAGGCTGCGAGGCGAGGGAAGCCGGCTCGGCGTTCCGGGGGACACGGGCGGTGATGGTGGCACGAGTTTTAGCCACTGGTACGCCATGAGCTGTAGATGCAAGCGGTGGCCTTTTTACTCAAGTTCAAAACACCGTGGCTGTTAGCCGGTCAAACAGATATTACCCACAGGACCCAGTGACTCCGCTTCTGGGCGCACACCCCGGACGGGCGGCGGGGATTCAGGCAGACATGTGCACCCAAGGTTCAGAGCCGGAAGGTGGCTACACCCCAATGCCCACCGCCGGGCGGGTAAAGCCAGTGCCCACCGCCGGGCGGGTAAAGCCAGTGCCCACCGCCGGGCGGGTGAAGCCAGTGCCCACGCCGGGCGGGTAAGGAAGCCTGTCCCCGTGCCTGGAGAGCTGGCCTCAGAGGGAAGGCGTGCGGGCACCCTGCAGGACGGAGGGCCTCTGGCGCCGTGATGCGGAGGGAAGGTCGCGGGCACGAAGGACCAGCACCGCAGGCCCACTCCCACGAGCACCAGGGGCACTCCCCTCACAGCGACAGAAAGCAGGATGGGGCCGGCCCCAGCAGCTCAGTGGCTGAGCGTCGACCAGGGGATCACAGTTCAATCCCAGGCAGGGCCCAGGCCCAGATTTCGGGCTCCATCCCCAGTGGGGGCGTGCAGGAGGCAGCCGATGGATTATTTTCTCTCGTCGTGGATGTGTCTCTCTCTCCCTCTCCCTTCCTCTCCGAGATCCATAAAGATATATTTAAAAAAAAGAAGAAGGAAGTAGGAGGGGCTGCCAGGGCCTGGGCAGCTCCTGTGGAGGGGATTTCGGTTTGGGGTGAAGTGGTGGAGGGGGGCAGTGAAGGTTGCACAGCGGGGGAAGGTACCGATGCCGCACACGGCACACTTGACAGTGGTGCTGGGGCTGCTCCGTCACCTGCGGGTCAGCACACTGAGGTGACCAGACGGCCCGCTGTTTAACAATTTGTCCCGCGTCCTGTGGTGTCTGGGATGTTTTTTAGACGCCGCGGGACGCGGGACAAATCGTTAAACAGCGGGCCGTCTGGTCACCTTCAACAGAACGCCCCTCTCAGAGATGAGCGTGTGACTCAGGGTGGCGTCCTGCTCGGACGGGGCGGAGGCGGCTGCTCCCCCGAGGGCACTGAGTTTACATTAATTTATTAATTTATTGTGTGTGTGTGTCCCCAGGCGTGACGCACGCGGCCATCTGGGCGGCCTGCATCTCCTACCTGAGCGCCGCGGTGCCCCCCGAGCTGCGCACGTCGGCCCAGGGCATCCTGCAGGGCCTGCACCTGGGCCTGGGCCGCGGCTGCGGGGCCATGGTCGGCGGCGTCCTGGTCAACTACTTCGGTGAGAGCGGCCTCCCTGCCCCGCCCTCTCAGGGACGCCTCCGGGAGCCCAGCTGCTCCTGAGGGCGGGCACGGTCTCTCCCGGGCCCCCTGACAGCCCCTGGGCCTCCTGATGCCCCCCGGGGCCCCCTCATGCCCCCTAGGTGCTCTGGCACCCCGATACCCCCTGACAGCCCCTGGGCCTCCTGATGCCCTCCCTGGGCCCCCTGACACCCCCTGGGCCTCCTGATGCCCCCCCTGGGCCCCCTCATGTCCCCTGGGCCCCCTGACACCCCCTGAGCCTCCTGATGCCCCCCCTGGGCCCCCTCATGTCCCCTGGGCCCCCTGACACCCCCTGGGCCTCCTGATGCCCCCCCCGGTCCCCCTCACGTCCCCTGGGCCTCCTGACATCCCAATACTCCCTGGGCCCCCTGACACCCCCCTGGGCCTCCTGATGCCCCCCCCCCCGGTCCCCCTCACGTCCCCTGGGCCTCCTGACATCCCGATACTCCCTGGGCCCCCTGACACCCCCCTGGGCCTCCTGATGCCCACCCTGGGCCCCCTCATGCCCCCTGGGCCCCCTGACACCCCCCTGGGCCCTCTGAGCCTCCTGACACCCCCTGACACCCCCGGCCGCGTGTCCCACTCTGACGCTGTGGCCACGGCCGCACCTGTTCACCCCACGCCCTGCCGCCTTGTCCCGAGCTTGGGAGCGCCGAGTCTGGGGAAGGGCTGCCCGCCGTCCCGGGCTGCCCCAGAGCTCGCCGGTCTCCACAGGGGCCGCGGCCACCTTCCGGGGCATCGGCATGAGCTGCCTGGCGATCCTGCTGCTCTTCGCCCTGATCCAGTGGCTGGCCGTGCCGGAGGACGGTAAGCCGCCGTGCTGTCCGGGGGTCACGGTGCAGCCACGGAACCTCGGGCCCGCGGAGCCGGGGGCGTGGCCGGGACCGGATATCCCCGGGGCTCCTGCGGACTGCGGTGGGCGCGGAGCCATGGAAGGGAACGGTCCCGGGGCGGCCTGGGGGCCGTGGTATTGGTTGGCGGCGTTGGCTTTACGTTTCTCCAGTTCTCTGTAGGTGCCCAGCATGTGGGTCAAGCAGACGTAAGTGTCCTGCTAGGGGTAGGCGTGCTGTTGATCTGTTTTCCTATGAGTGCTGGGTCTTCTCACGCTTCTTCCGCCGCCTGCTCTGCCTCACGCCTCCCTCCAGCCCGGTGCCAGGCCTGCTGGGAGGCCGAGGAAGCAGCCGTCCAGGCCTCTCTGTTTGGATGCTTATCTTCACGTGGGCGGGCCTGTGCGTGGGCCTGAGCCTCCGAGCTGAGCCCGGTGCCCCAGGTGTGGGAGCTAAGGTGGACAAACAGGACGTTTCATAAACACGTAGACGTTAAGGTGGATGACGCCCTGCAAGGAGGTCCCAGAAGATGAATCTCCTCTGCTCTTTGATGTAAACTTAGGAAGAAAGACCAGTACTAGCTGGTCCACTCGGCCAATCCAGGTGCCCGTAGGGGTCACACCCAGAGCCCCCGCAGCTCCGCAGCGGGTCCGCCGAGGAGCCCCTGGGCCGGCGCTGATGGCCGCCGCCACGGGCGGGGCCGGGACCGGGGCCGGGGCGGGGGCCGTCCGTTTGTGTCCGTGTCTGTTCGAGGACGCGGGAAGCTCTGACAGCGCGGCTCTCTCTCCAGACAAGACCATGCTGGCCGAGAGGATCCCGGTTCCGTCCAGTCCCGTCCCCATAGCGACCATCGGCTTGGTGCAGCAGCCGCCGGAGGACGCACTGCCACGGGCGGAGCTGCGCCCGCCGCCCAGGAAGACCCGGCACCAGGAGGAGCAGGAGGACGCCAGCAAGCCCGCCTGGGGCATGAGCGCCTGCCCCTGGGTGACCTTCGTCTACGCCCTCTACCAGGTCAAGGAGATGATGCGGCTGGCCCGGGAGAGCCCCGCCTCCGAGGTCCAGCCTCTGCAGGTAGCGCCCCAGCCGCCGCCCCTGTCAGCTTCCCTCCCCGGCCAGGCTCCTCCCTGCCGCCTCCTCCCCGGGGCAGGCTTCCCTCCTCTGCCGGCCTCCTCCCCTGGGCAGGCCTCTGTCAGCTCTGCAGCTGCGGGTTAGAATCTACCGGAGGTCCGGGCGGCCCAGTGGCGAGTGTGGCAGGTCCGGGTGGCTCCGTGCTCAGTGGCAGGTGTGGGAGGTCCGGATGGGTCCGTGCTCCATGGCAGGTGCAGGAGGCCCGGTGGCCCAGTGCTCCGTGGCAGGTGCGGGAGGTCCGGGTGGGTCCGTGCTCCGTGGCAGGTGCAGGAGGCCCGGGGGCCCAGTGCTCCGTGGCAGTGCGCAGTGGAGGCGTAGGCAGAGGCTGTGCCACTGGAGCTGGAACGCGCCTTCTGATTTTGGGCTAAGCTCCTGCGTCGATGGCTCTGCAGTCCCGACGCCGTGGGCAGGCTGAGCAGCAGCCCGGGGTCGGGGAGCAGTGGCCACACTAAGGGCCGTGGCTGCGCACATGAGCTCCGGGAGCGAGCTGCTGGGCCTCCCGCGGAAGGAAAGGGTCGCATTCTGGCCGGAGCGGCTGGTCTCTCCTGAGTGAGTTGACGGCGGTCGGTGAGGGGCAGCTGACGGCTCCGGCCCGCCGTGGGCGCTCAGCTGCACCCGTGGGTCCCGCCGCCTCACGGTGTTTGTTTTTCATGCGGCTCTGGCAGATTCCCACGGGGAAAGAGACGAAAGGTAAGCCCTCTGTCCGCCCTCGCCCGGCCGCGCGGTCCCCGGAGGCCTCCCAGCCTGGCCCGGCCTGGCCCCGGCCTGACCCCGGCCTGACCTTCGGCCTGACCCCCAGCCTGACCCCGGCCTGACCCCCGGCCTGACCCGGTCTGACCTCCAGCCTGACCCCGGCCTGACCCCCGGCCTGACCTCCCGGCCTGACCCCCGGCCTGACCTTCGGCCTGATCTCCCGGCCTGACCCCCGGCCTGACCCCGGCCTGACCCCGGCCTGACCTCCCGGCCTGATCCTGGGCCTGACCCCGGCCTGACCTCCTGGCCTGACCCCGGCCTGGCCCCCGGGGAGGCGTGTGGACGGTGCTGGGCTGGCACCTGAGCCGTCTCCGTTCTTCTCCCCCAGAGGACCAGTGAGAACCGGGGAGCCTCTCCCGCCACCGGAGCCCGGCCCGGCTCCCGCGACGTGCCCGCCAGCCCGCCCGCCAGCCCGCCGTCCCCGCCGCTGCCGAGCAGCCCCGCCCAGCCCGGCGCCCTCCCGCCAGCGGAGGAGGCGGGGGGCGCGCAGGCCCTGCCCTGCGCCCGGGGCCCCTGAGGGCCTGCCCGCCTCCCTGCATGGACCGGCCTCGGCCCCGCACACGCCCCCTGAGCTCCGCACCACCCGCTTCTGAGCACCTGCGCGCAGCGTGAGACACCCGTGGCTGGGCATGTCCCCCACGGCGCTGGGCGGCGGGCGGAGCCGCAGCACACGGGCGGGGACGCCCGGGGGAGCTGTGACAGCCCGCCTCGCCGTGTCCGGAAGAGCGCCCGTTAACCGTACGACGGAGAACCCAGCGGGCGGAGCAGTCGCGGCGTCTGTGCGTCTAAGGAGAGGGGGGTCCTCAGACGCCGGCCTCGAGGTCCCTCCGAGCTCGGCAGGGGCGTTGTCTGCCAGGAAAGCAGCGGGTCCCTGAGCAGAGCGTCCACAGGCCATTCTCCCCATGGGCTCAGGACCGGAGCCGGGCACATCCCAACCCCCCCCCCCCCCCCGTGTCCTGGGCCGAGGCCAGGGGACCGGCCACGGAGAGGCCTTGTGGTGCCCGGCCACACTGTACAGTCCGGAGGTCCAGGCCCGGCTGGGTGGACGGGTGTTCTCAGCTGCTGCCTTCCTGAGGGGTTCCTTAAGCAGCACTGTTTCCAAATAGCAGGATTCGCTGTAAGTGCCTGGGGGGGTGGGCCACGGGTAACGGTGTGTGAGGGGTGGGTTTGCGCTTGGTGCGGGGGCAGTCAGACACTGGACTTGGCTACGGGTTTGCTGCTGTGCACACACTGCCGTCGGGACCACGCTCGCTGCTACCAGGGGAGCCGGGGAAGGGAAGGGGGGGGCTTTGGGGGAACGGGGGGCCAGTCCCACGTGGGCAGTTGCTGTGGGGACGCAGAGGAGGGAGGAAAGGGAAGTACGGTCAGTGACCCTGTCACTCGGGTCCATGACCCCTGCGTCCGCCAGAACTGCGTCGGGAGAGGGAACCCCCACCCGTGGGTGTCCGGCCCCACAAAACGCAGCTTACAAAGAATAATAAGGGAAGAAGTGGAGTGAAGCAAACGGTTATTTCTGCACTGGAACCGAGATGTGCTGCACCATAGGTTACCATGCCGCACCTGCGTGGCCTTCCCGAACCAACGTATTTATTGTGCTTACGTGACCGCGGAAATAAAGGTGCGCGGCCCGCCTCGCCCGGGGGCACCGAGCGCGCTGACTCCTTACCGACTGGTCGTGTCTGTGCTCACCCTGCTGTGTGTGCCTTGGGGAAGCCGCTGTGGGGGAGGTGCAGATGCTACGCCGGGATAAAAGCAAACGCCATTTTAAACATTTCCTAAATGGCCACGGTGGGCCACGCCCACGGAAGTGAGGCAGAGCGGCCCGCGGCCGTGGGAGCCGGGGTCTCCGCCTGGAGCAGACCCGCCCCGTGGTCTGTGCGCCCTGTGCCGCCCTGCCCCCAGGTGACATGTAAATTCACTTTTTAAATATACTTCATTGATTTTTACAGAGCGGAAGGGAGAGGGACAGAGAGAAACATCCATCAGCTGCCTCCTGCACACCCCCTACTGGGGATGTGCCCGCAACCAAGGTCCATGCCCTTGACCGGAATCGAACCCGGGACCCTTCAGTCCGCAGGCCGACGCTCTATCCGCTGAGCCACACCAACAGTTCCCCTTCTTCTCTCCCTCCCCAGTTATTGCAAGAAGCAGCAGGAGCAGCTGCCCCGCAGGAGGCACCTCCTAAGGTCCCTCCTGGTGAGCACACCCTCACCCCTCACCTCCGGGGCTCATCGGGAGCACACTGTTCCCCAAGACAGCGAGAAACCAGAGCCGCGGGGGCCGCAGATGATCACACATGGGAAGGCCGAGGGCGGTCACACGTGGGGGAGGCTGCGACTGTCACACACCTCGGTACGCAGCTCGCACAGAAGCAGCAAAAAGGCGTGGACACCGGAGGAAAGGCGCCGGGCCTGCGGCAGGCAGGGGCGGCCGTGCCCACACACGGGTGCCCAGTCACTTCGGGGTGGGGGCGCGTCACGTGCTGTTGGATGACCCTGATGTGTGTGAGCAGCTTTTCCTTTCTGCTCACCCGCGTGTCTGACCCTGTCGGTCTGCCTTCTGAGAGGGGATCTGCTGGTCCAGTGGGTTCAACCGTCTGTCCTCAACCGGCTCCACGGCTGCCGTGGCCCACGCCTGGGCAGGCCACGTGGGCTGGCTGCTGTGAGCAGGGTCTTCTTCGGGGCAATGGCGTGAGGGTCCTGGGTCACTGCCCAGGGGCACAGCCACCGGCTAGCTCGCCAGTGTCATCTTAGGGGGGTGGCTCGGGGGCAGCCGGCTCCTGGCGCTGCCTAAACATACCCCTTACTGCGGCTTCTGCCCACGCCCACATGCCCCCACAGGCCCTCCCCCGCTGGGCAAAAGGCGGCTGACAGCCTGCACTCCACCTCGGGGCCAGTCACACGCGGGTAACAACATATCCTCCTCCGTTCTGCACATCCCCTCGGGGTGTGGTTAGGTGTGCTGATGTGACCCATCATCTGTTCTCACCTGGACCACTGGCCTCTGAGGCCGGGGCCCCTGCCCCTGCCCCTGCCCCTGCCCTCCCCCACCCTTTGCCAGACACGATGGGCCACACCCACTGCCTGTGGGCTTCCTGGGCTTTGATTTTTTAAAAAAATATATTTTATTGAGTTTTTACAGAGAGGAAGGGAGAGGGATAGAGAGTCAGAAACATCCATGAGAGAGAATCATCAATCAGCTGCCTCCTGCACACCCCCTACTGAGGATGTGCCCGCAACCAAGGTACATGCCCTTGACTGGAATTGAACCTGAGACCCTTCAGTCTGCAGGCCGACGCTCTATCCACTGAGCCAAACCGGTTTTGGCCTGGGCTTTGATTTTTGCTTGTTGAATATTTAATTTTCAGATTAGTTGGCAACATTTAAAAATCACAACTCACCCTCTCATCCACAGTCCTAGCTTTTCCAGAAAACCAGGAGGCCTGGCAAGGCGGGCCCGTCCTCCCTCCCTCGGGCAGCACTCAGCTCAGGCCGAGAGGTCATGCCCCCTCCAACGCGCTGCGGTGTCACCCTGGTGACCGTCCCAGTCCTCATGGCCCCCTCGGCCTGCTCAGTGCCCCGAGCACCTGGGTCCGGACCTCCTTAGGCATCCGCCAGGGAGCGCCCACTGAGCCGCCCTGCCTTCCTCCCCGCACTGGGCACAGTCAGCACGCTGCCTCCGCCTGTCCTGCCGCCTCACCTGCCTCCCACCCGCCCATCCGGGCTTTGTCCCGCCGAGGGCCTACCGGCGCTCAGGCACCGGCTCTCCCACCCGTGAAGATCCGGCCCAGGGCCAGCTCCCCGGGTGCTCAAGCTCTCCATGCCGGCGGCAGGCCTGCACTCGCACCTCCTGTGTGACAGCATGACAGCGTGCATGACAGCATGTGACAGCGTGTGACAGTGTGTGACAGCGTGTGTGACAGCATGTGACAGCGTGCATCACAGCGTGTGACAGCGTGCATGACAGCGCGTGACAGCGTGTGACAGCGTGCGCCTCGGTCTCCATGAACACGGCGCAGGAGAGATGCCTCATCCGTGCAGGACATGCAGGCAGGCACTCAGCCCACGCGGTGACAGACGGGGCGGCCCCAGCGCCGCCTCAGCAGTCACGCAGCCGCTGAGCGTCCAGAGCCGCAGCCTCGCCTGACCCCGAGAAGAGAAAGCCCACGTGCCACCCACTCCCGCCCCTGAGGGCGCATCTCTGACCCTAACGCTCTCTCACAGGCACACGGATGCCTCCCAGCAGTCCGGCTCTAAGCAAGAAGCACAGTGAGAGGAGACGCCAGGAACCCGAGCCCGGGCCTTCGTCACTGATCGGAGGGAGGGGGTCTGCCACCCCCGTGGGCGGGAGCCTCGGGCTTGCTCCTCCCCTCCCTCTCCCCTTCCCCAGTCCGTTATGAGACCAAACACGCCATGTCCAAACACCCCAACCATCACAGAACCAGAGCTCCGGAGCCAGGTTCACGAGGAGAGGGAAGACCACGCACGTACCTGAGCGCCCCCGCCAGGCAGCGCAGGGCGCGGGGCAGCAGCTGGAGGCCCGCGGCGGCCCAGGCGGCCTGGGGCACGGGGGCGCCGCAGAGGGTCAGCGCCAGGGCCAGCAGCCGCAGCGCCCAGGCCAGGAGGCGCTGGCCCCTCTCCCTGGCCAGGGGCCTGCGTCTGTAACAGGCGGCAAAGCTGAGGGCCCCGACGGCCAGCACGTAGCCTGTGGGAGCAGAAGGAGGCGGCTGTCTCACTCTGAACGTGAAAATCCACGGTAAAACCGCAGAGGTCTGGCCGGCGGCTCCGGGGTGGAGCGTCGACCTGCGAGCCAGGAGGTCGGGGTTCGATTCCCGGTCAGGGCACAGGCCCGGGATGCGGGCTCCATCCCACGTGAGGCGTGCAGGAGGTAGCCGGTCCATGATTTTCTCTCATCCTGGATGTTTCTCTCTCGCTCCCTCTCCCTTCCTCCCTGACATCAGTAAAAACATAAAAAGGAAAAAACGACATAGCCTTGGCGGAGAGCTAAGAACATACAGGAAACCTCCACTTTCGTTTTCTTTCCCCGATGAAGGAACGTGGGAAAAGGCATCTACGGCTGTCACTCCTGCACGTGAGATTGTGAGTTATCGCTCTCGGTGAAGTGAGGGTGCAGAGTTGTCAGTGATTAGAACACGTGTCCAGTCGTCAGCCCAGAGTCCCGGACCCGTGGCCGGCAAACGCAGCTCGCGAGCCACATGCGGCTCTTTGGCCCCTGGAGTGTGGCTCTTCCACAAAACACCACGGCCTGGGCGAGTCTGTGTTGACGTGGTGTTAGAAGAAGTTTACGTTTCTTTTGGCTCCAAGAGAAATGTCCAACGTTGTCCTGTTGGCTCTGTGGACGAAGGAGCTTGCCGACCGCTATAGACCTAGAAGGACACACGTCCTGGTGGCGGCCTTGGTCAGGGGAGCGTCAGCTGAGGTCACAGCTGCAAACCCGGCTTTTTGTTTCCACACTCCGTTCAGGAAAGGAACGTGTCACCTTACATCTGGGGGTGGG